CAGCGGTTAAGAACAGTGACTGTTCTTGCAGAAGACCCAGGTTTGAAACCCAGCACCCACATGGCAGCTAACAATTTCCTTAACTTCAGTTTCAGGGGATCTGACTCCCTCCTCTGACGTCTGTGGGCTTTGCATGACATGGGTACACTTACACACATCCAGGCAGTATACTCATACACATAAAATAAAAATAATAAATATTTAAATAAATTAAGTCAGTTACAAAAGGGTGGAAGTATGTAATTCTACTCTCCTGAGGTGAGCCCAGTCCTTAGAGCCAGAACAAAGCAGAGGTTACCAGGGTCTGGGGGCAACAGCTGGGGAATCACTGCTTAATGGTCACAGAGGCCCTGAGCCAATGAATTCACTTGACGGAGGGCTAGTGCTAGCAGTTGTCGAGAATTGTTAAGTGTGATGAATGCTACATTCATTTTGCACTCAAAAACAGTTAAAAGGATCAGTCTTACACTGCATACTTTAACAAACTAAAAAGGGCTCAGACTTTGGAAGATTGCCTTCCTGTTTCCTCCCTTCCCTTACTTCCACCTCATTTTCCCTTTCTTTCATCTGTAACTTGCATTCCCATGCCCTGATTAAATATGTAGAGTTGAGTAGCAGTGCCTGGCTCATAGTAGGTGCTCAATAAAATAGATGTTCCCCTCCCCTTCAGGGATCTGGCAGGGCTGAGACTATGGCCATAGACAGTCAGCTTCTTGCTTCTTTTGTTTTGCTGAATTTTTTCATTGAAAAGGGGTGCTTAAGATTATATGCACTACACAGAAAGCCACAAATGGCCAAAGTGTAGAGAATAAGAGGCTGCAGAGGGTATGCCCTGGACAAGACTTCTATATTGAACCTCACTCACCCATGACTCGGGGACCATTGCAGAAGAGGGGAGTGGAAAGATTGTAAGAGCCAGGGTTAGCGCAGGAACATAAGGAAATAGTCTTCCAGGCCCCTGGGACCTTGCTCATATGAACTTACACCAAAGGTGACAGCATGCACAAGACCCATGTAGACTCAGACAAAAACCAGCATAGAAGTGGGGAAATGGGGCAGCAGGCCCCAGCTTTAGCCAGAGAACTATTGGCAGCTGATTACTGCAGGGTGATGGAGAGTTGATCTTCTTTAAGGGAGAGACTCTAGATAAACTGACTAGACTCCAGAGGATGAACTCACACCTGGGGTCACAAACATGACTTCATAGGCCTTATCATATATGACAATGCATGAAATCCAGTGGGGGAGTATGGGGAGTTGCAGATGGGGGAGGGAGTCTAAACATGATTAAGACACATAGTACAAAATGCACAAAAGTTCAATAAAAATATGCATTGAGGAAAAATTAAAATTTTTTAAAATTAAAAAACAAAAAGATTATGTGCACTAAAGGAGATGTTGCTTCTACTAGAAAACATATTATTTTAGGCCTGCACTGAGATGTGTGTTAACACCACACTCAGGGACAGGCTTTATATGACTCTGCTTTCTCAGAGAATACTTTTAGTTAGAATTTGGTTCATAAGAAATAGTACTAGGCTATCCACACACGGAGTTTCATTTAGCCTTAAGAAGGATGAAACTGCCAGTCCAGGTGTACAGGCTTTTAATCCCAGTTTTCAGGAGGCAAAGGTGGGTGGATCTCTGTGAATTCGAGGGCAACCTGGTCTACAGGGTAAGTTCCAAGTCAGACAGGGCTACACAGTGAAACCCTGGAGAGAGGGGGAGGGGGAGGAGGAGGAGGAGGGAGGGAGAGAGGGAGAGAAGGAGAGAGGGAAAGGGAGAGAGACTGCATCATTTGCAGGAAGAATGTCTGGAGAGCTTACTGTTAAGAGAAACAAGCCAACTCAAAAAGATCATATTACATGCTTTCTCATATGTGGAATCTAGATTTTTTAAAAAAGGCATGAGGGGCTGGAGAGATGGCTCAGCAGTTAAGAACACTGACTGTTTTTGCAGAAGACCCAGGTTCGAATCCAAGCACCCACATGGCAGCTAACAACTGTCCATAACTCCAGTTCCAGGGGATCCGACAGCCTCTTCTGTCCTCCGCAGGCATTGCATGACATGAGTGCACTTACCTACATGCAAGCATAAATAACACTCATACACATAAAATAAAAGTAATAAATAAAATAAATTTTTAAAAAGGCATGAAAGTAGAGGAGGAACTACTTGGGAAGATCAACAGGACCACTGGGGGGACAAGAGAGGGTAATGGGAGGTAATACGATTAAAGTACATCATATACTGACATGAAAATGTCATAATGAATCTGATTATTATTTTGTACAAAATATATGCTAGTAAAGAGGAGGAAGAAATGGCAATAGAAAAACAAAAGAAAATGGATAGTTTCACCCACACCCAGGACAGGTCAGCTCCTGACTGACATTTGTCACCACAAAGGTCATTGTATGGAAACTGTCTTCTAACCTATCTCTGTCCCATTGGAGATAGACTTTTGAATCCCTTGATCCCAGGTAGCTCTTGAGAAACATGAGAAATGCAAACTCAGTTTGCCTTCTGTCTGCAGAAAGCACCCTCAGGTACATGGCCCGTCAGATTCCAAGGCAAGGACTGGCTCATGAAGATTTTGCTGCTCTCGGAGACCTAAAGCTGGGAGCACACTCCTTCTCCAGATTAAAGAGGAGCCTAAGGAAACTTGGGCACACCATTCCTTTAGAAAGGTACCCAATGCTGGGACCCAGAATGCTTACGGACAGCTGCCTGTCACCTTTCTTATCTGACAGAGGGAAATAACTCCCAAATTAGGTTTTTTATTTAGTTTTACCTTTACCTACCCATCCCTAAAGAAAATTCAAGGTGGATAATAACATAATGTATTTGGTGCTGGGAGTGGAGGATAGGAGGAGAATGGACTGGGCATTCTCTCTCACTCTCCTTTATTTTTCAAATTTGGCATGGTTCCTTATAGTGGAAAAGCATAATGACAATATATAATCTGGATTTAACGTTGCTGAGATTGGCTGTTTTGGGAAAGTACAACATTTCTAAGTGACAACTTCCAGTGTTAAAACTAACTCTGGTCTATATCTCAGATTGCTGTGTGATGCTTATTATTTAACCACTGTCAAGCTGTCAAATAACCTGGCTCTCTCAGACAGCTGGTAGTTATTTATAAGTAGATTTTATAGAAATTTATCAAGGGTTTCTTAGGCGATGAGCTTGGAAGAAAACGCTTAGAAAATAATAACGTAAATAACTATATATATATTTTTTTTTCCTCCAATCACGGTTTTTAAAGGGCTGGGTAAGGCCATTAAAGAATGTAAGTCTTTAAAAGATTATGCCACCCTCATTCCTTTGCTATTCAAAGCTGCAATAAAAGCAGTCATAAACTTACCTTATTGCTATTGTGATTGAGACCTGTGTTTGTGTTGCCTGGCTTGGTGCAGGATTAAATGGCACACTTTAGAAGCCCCAGTCACGGGCCACCCAGGTGCCAAAATGAGAGCCAGGCGTGAGGACTATGCCTCCCACTCCCACAGCTGAACATACACTGAAGGAAATCATGGAGCCAGAAGCAACTGATCCTCTATTTTCCATCATCTTGCAAAACCTAATTGGATCGACCATTTTAATAGAACTGTCTCATCAATTCAAGCAGCCAGTTAATTAAATCTCACAATTCCCTTAACTGCTCTCCCCTGCCCCTCACCCTGACAGGCCAGCGACTAGATGCACAGAATTCACTGATTGTGGGGATTCAAAGGTTGTTTGCAAATCACTTACACAATGCTGTGGTGACCAGGTTGGGCCAGTGCCAGTGCTGGGCTCATCAGAGGTGCACACATCACTGTAATAAATGAACTCCCCACCTTCTTTCAGCTAAAGATCCAGTCACTCCTCTGGCCAGAATACCTGGTTGTAAGGCTGGAGGAAAACAGATCCCAGTCTCTAAAATTTCTAAGCACCAAAATACACTTTAAATAAGTACACTTTAGGCACATGTCCAGCAAATCATAGGGTGTGAGTTTGGCGATGTGACTATGCATTCTAGAAAATTCATAACACTCTCAGGTAAAACCTGAGTCCTGGGTCCTTACATCAGTCATATCAATCCAGGAAGGATCCAAGTGTTCAGTATCCTTAAAAGTCTCCTGTGATCACCAATAAGGTCCTAAGAGCCATTAAAAAGGTGGTTATGAGACTTACTCATAATGTGTAAATTTATATGACCTCTATACTAAGCAATGTGGCAAGAATCCATCAAACGCACAAAACACATGTGCCCTTTGTCCAAAAGTTCACTTCTCGGAACCTGTCCCACAGTTACACATCGAAGCTTTGACTCTGATAGCAGAACATTGGAAACTGACATCCAAAAGTGGTCATTTAAAATGTAAACACCCTACTGTAAATCTATGCACTAAAAAATATATAGCTGTGACAAATGAAGAAATTATATAGTGATATGTGATATGTGTCCTAGTTTGGTTTCTGTTGCTGTCATAAAAACCCAGACCAAAAACGTCCTGGGGAGGAAAGGGTTTATTTCATCTTATACTTCATGATAACGGTTCATCACTGAGGGAAGTCAGGGCAGGAGCTTAAAGCAGGAACCCGGAGGCAGGAACTGAAGCAGAGAGCATGGAGGATGCTGCTTACTGGCAGCAGAGTGGTACTGCCCGCCATGGGCTGGGCCTTGATACATCAGTTGTTAATCGGAAAATGCCTGCCAGGCATGGCTGGGGGCCAGTCTGATCTGGAAAGTTCTTCAGTTTAGGTTCTCTCTTCCCAGGTGACTCGAGTTTGTGTCAAGTTGACAAAAACTAACCAACATGATCTTCTAGGCATAAAATGAAAATTTTAAGAGTAGGGGAGATGACTCAGGAGTAAAGAGCATTCAGTCCTCTTACAGAGGACGGAGTTTCATTCCCAGCACCCACGGGAACGGATTACTATCATCTTTAACTCCAACTCCAGGGGATCCAATACCCTCTTCTGGCCTCCACAGGCATACACATGCATGCGCACGCACACACACACACACACACACTCAAATAAAAATAAATCATTTATTTATTTATTTATTTATTTATTTATTTACTTGCTCTTTTGAGACAGGGTCTTCCTGTAGCCCCAGCTGGCCTGAAACTCACTCTGTAGACCAGGCTGGCCATGATCTTACAAAGATCTTCCTGCCTCTGCCTACCCAGTGCTGGAATTAAAGGCATGTGCCACCACACCTGACCAATAAATCATTTTTTTAAATCAAAGTGAAAATAACATACCTAGCAAACATCTCTTTTTTAATGAATTTTTGTGCATTTCATACAATGCATCTGTTAGGCTTTGAGACTCGGGAATAATTCCCACAGACACACACACACACACACACAAACACACACACACAAAAAAAAAAACTGCATAAAAATTTTATTCAGAAATTTAAAGTATAAGGCAACCAAATTGGTGGCTAGCCAGGCACGGACTCCACAAGCCAAAGATGGCATCCGGCCCTGAACACTAGCAGGCAGAAGCTTTTATAGGGAAGTTTCATAGAAGCCCGCGTGCCCCAAGCATCCTTTAAAGTGATCGGATGGCCCTATGTCCTGAGTACGGGGAAGATCCTTCTTGGCCAGGGCTGTCTTTAGGGCACTGGAATGTGCTGACTGTTATCTGTAGGGCCAGAAGTTTTTGTTTTTACCTTAAAAGGCTTTTGCATGCCCAGGCTTGCTTAACCTATAGCTTTGGGGTGAGGGGAGGCGCAACTGGAAATTTACAACATGCCTGGGCTTCTCCCGGCTTGCCTGAAACAGCTAGCCAAAATGGAGTTAGTGCATTCTGACTCTTGCATTCTGACTCTTCATTCCCCCCTAGAGTTACGGCAAGGGTTAAATCTTTAGGCCAAGCAAATTACAGAAGCAGAAAGAAGTGGTTAGATGGCACATTTAATCTTTAAGCAATAGCAAGCAAGCGATTGTACAGAAGCTACATGTTATGCCATTAGCAAGCAGTTATCTAGGGTAAAGGACCTTCCTGGGACTGTACTGAGTGTGGAGGACCATCAGTTGGATGGTCTGTAATCGGGTCTGTATAACCCTGAGGAGGGCGTTTATCAGACATGGCCCACATGTAAGGGCAATCAAGAGTATTATCAGAGGCCCTGCCAGTGCTGTAATAAGTGTATTAACCACGGGGACCCTGTGAATAAGGATTCATACCAGTTTTGTTGTTGGAGCCTAGCATCTTCCCGTTCTTTTAGGCTTTTGCAGACCTCGGCTAGAGACCTGATTACACCCGAGTGGTTAACATAAGAGCAACATTGTTCACCCAAAGCAGCACATAACCCCCCTTTTCTAGTAGGAGGAGATCCAGGCCCCTCCTGTTTTGTAAGGCAACATCAGCCAAAGAGGATACAGACTCCTCTAAATGTTTAATTGAGCTTTCTAAACTGCGGAGGTCTGTATCTATTGCTATTCGGAGGGCCTGATAATTATGGTCTTATAAAATCAGAGCTGAGGCTCCGGTACCTACTGCGACAGAGACTCCTACTCCTGAAAGGGTGGAAAGAACTATAACTCCTGTGGCTATTTCTCTGCATGGCCAGGCCCATCCAGTGACCTGAGCTTCTAATTTTAAATTTGACCTGTAAAAAAGGTGGGGGACCAGTTGTACTGGTACACAGAAGTCCCCCATTTGATCCAGCACCAAGGAGTCAAGACATGTGGTAATCCCTGAACTACAAGCCCACCAGGTGTTAGTGGGGGGAACAGTGTATGGGTGGGAACTATTTAGTATGAGGCTAGAATTGGAGCTATAGAGATGTTGGTGGGAGGGGGGGATCTTTCCCCCTTCCGAAGTAACACATAAGCCTTGCCCATAGACTAGGGTGAGGGTGAGGCCCTTTCTTCCCATAGAAGGGCCTGTCCTACAATGACTCACATCAGGGGTGGAGGAGTAAGTGCCCAGAACAGCTATACCATCATAGTAAGGGGGTCTAAGGTCTAGGCAGAACCAGCAACTCTGGGTTAGTTTAGAGTCAGTGAGATTTAAAACTATAAAAACAGTGTCTAGGATGGTCAGGGGTCCCTCTCACCCAATTGGGGGGGTAATAGGGGCTCTGGAAGTGGGAGTCTGGGTAGTAGATGTATCCCTGGGGGCCAATGGGGAATGCCTAAAGATTCTTTTGGGGACGAGGGGCGATTTGGGGTCCCTGTGTCTGGCCCGATGGGTAATTGGATAGAAAACAAGGTTCCAGGATCCTGTTGGTTGACATGTAACCTCAGCCCCCATGTCATCCCATTTAACCATAATGTCTGTCAACTGACCTCTCTCCCTAGAGGAGTAAATTTTACAACTACAGGATTGCATCTGGAATTTAAGAATGGTCACCTCAATAAATGTCTGGTATTAGCAAATCTGATTCCTGGGGCCTGGGATAGCCCCAGGGGGCTTATGAGTCTGGGGGGAATCAGACCCTGGGGCCTTATTTACTTGGAGTAGGTCATCTTCAACTGGTGGATTCCAATTAATGCTACCCATGGAAACAGTCTCAAGAGGCACAGAAATAGTCAGCAACCCCCCCACATTTGGCCTTAGCCTTGTTTTCCAGGCATATGTACAACCACTGTTTTTGAAGAGCGCTGCGGGGCATGGGGCAATCACATCCATATGTGGCCATATCCCAGTCCTATCCAATTAAATCACATAGGTCAAAGTGAAGATCCAGATACCAGGTCCCGATCACTGCTAGGCTAGACTTAGAAGCCACTGTCTTCCCGGTAGCAGTACTGCTGAGGATCTATGTCAGGTTCTGAACGTTGTGGGGAGAGCCGGAGCATCCTAGGAGACGTGGGGAAGGAGAAGGAGAGAGAAAGAAGGAAGACTCAGGGGCCCGCTTCAAGCCTCAACTTGAGAGGATTGTCTGGTGCACGAATTACTCTCCATCTCCTATCTGGGTCATCGGGTGTCCGTCCGGCATTGGTTTTAGATGACTATGATGAACCCACCGCTGTTGATGTAGTCACGATCACAGTATGGGGTCCTTCCCACTGGGGGCCAAGAGTCTCCTTGTGGTGTCGTTTGACCCAGACAAGATCTCCTGGTTTAAACTTGTGAGGTTGGATGGGTCAACTCATACAGATGTCTCAGCAAAGGGAAGATATTATCCTGGGTTGTCTGCAGCACCTGGATGGACTTAAGAAACTGAGATTTAGACAAATCAATCTGAGGGCAGTTTAGGAAGTAAAGGGGGTGGTCAGCCATACATGATTTCATAAGGTGTTAGGCCTTGAGTATAGGGGGTATTTCTGACTCTATATAGGGCAAAAGACAGGAGGCCTGTCCAGTCATTGCCAGTTTCTAGGGTTAATTTGGTTAAGGTCTCCTTAAGAATCCGATTCATTCTTTCTACTTGTCCTGAACTCTGGGGGTGATATGCACAATGTAGCTTCCATTTGGTCCCAATGTTTTAACTAACCCTTGAGTTACCTTAGAGATGAAGGCTGGTCCATTATCTGACCCAATCACAAAGGGGAGTCCATACCTTGGTATCAGTTTAACGATGATCTTTTTGATTACCATTGAGGCTGTTTCCCTCTTGGTGGGGAAGGCTTCGACCCATCCTGAAAATGTATCTACAAAGACTAAGGGATATTTATAGCCACACCTGCCAGGTTTTATCTCAGTGAAGTCC